GAGTTATTGAGATAAAAATAAAGCCTAAAGAGGAATATGTGAATTAAAGAACGGATTGAACTGTTAGTGACCCTTTTGTATTCATGAAATGTGTAGGGTCAAGCTCCAGGGCGCATCCACAAGCCGACCACTGTGAGTAATATCAATATTTCGGATGTGTGCTTTGGATTTTCAGGGGAGTTGGGAAGACTATTTGCCACTTGCAGAATTTGCTTATAATAATAGCTTCCACTCCAGCATCGGTATGGCACCATACGAGGCTTTGTATGGTAGAAGGTGTAGATCCCCTATTTGTTGGACAGAAGTCGGGGATAGAGCTTTACTTGGGCCTGAAATTGTGCAAGGCACTTCTGAAAAGATCAAAACCATTCGACAAAGGCTCAAAATAGCTCAGGACCGACAAAAGAATTATGCAGATGTTCGACGAAGACCTCTTGAGTATGAGGTCAGTGACCATGTGTTTATTCGTATGTACCCAATGAAAGGCCCAGTCAGGTTTGGAAAGAAGGGCAAGTTGTCGCTCTGTTACATCGGGCCGTTTCAGATTCTGGAGAGGCTCGGTCCAGTTGCCTATAGAGTTGCTTTGCCACCGGGATTTGAGCAAATCCATAATGTGTTTCATGTGTCGATGTTGAGGGGCTACCTCCGAGACCCGTTTCATGTGATTGACTATCACCGGGTAGCTATAGATGAAAATATGGAATACGCCGAATGGCCAGAATGAATTGTTGATCGGCAAGTGAAACAATTGAGAAGCAAGTCTATCCCAGTGGTGAAAGTAGAATGGAAAGAACACTATAGGACGGATGCCACGTGGGAGAAAGAGGATGAAATGCGCCTGCGATATTCACATTTGTTTCCCGACGAAGGTAAAATTAGTTTGAGGGACCAAACTTCCTAAAGAGGGGAAGACTGTGACACCCTTGTTCCATAATATGTTAATTGGTCCTTAATACGAGTATGATTTTGTGTGCAATTATGTGAAAACATGTGGTTTTGAATTTCTTTTTGTCTACCGTAGGAATATCTGTTTGATCATCTGCTTTCCAAATTAAATTGAAGGCCTTATCGGACACCGAAACCGAAATTGATCGCGCCATTATGATTGGCATAATTTTTAGAGCCTACGGTGAAATTTAATCGAAAATTGATTCGGACCAGATTAAGTTGATTAAATTGGTGAATTAGTGCCCAATTATTTATTATTATTATATTGTGTTGAGTGGGGGCCTTGATACACTCTCCCTTACTTCCTTTGAACTCAAAAAAAAATCTGAGATATACAATTGTGAGAGAGAGAGGGCCGGCCATAGAGAGAGAGAGAGAGAGGGAGAGACTTGTGCAATTTTTGGCTCAAGCTTGGAAATTTGAAGATTGAACTCAAGAATTGGCTAGAACTTGGGTGTTTGATGCTCCTAGGTGAGTAAATCCATGAGTTTAATGTCTAATTTTGTGTATTCAAAGTTGATTAATGATCAAGAGTAAGGATTGAAGTGTAATTGAATTGGTTTTGTTGAATTGAGAGCCAATATGTGCATGCATGTAAGAAGTTGTTTTGAATTTGCATGTTTGAGCTTGAAATACATGATTCATGTAGAGTTTTGGTTAAAGCTCATGCTATGATCACCATTTGTATCATCTAAGTTGAAGATGAGAGTAATACAACACATGCATGTACAATTTATGAGGATAGGAGCTTTGAATACATGAATGTGTTATGATGAAAATGAGTTTGGTGTAATTTGAGCCATGCATGTGATTATTTTGTGAAATTGAGCTCCATTATGTTGTAATTTAGTGTTTGTACTATGTTAGTACACAAATATGTGAAGTTTGAGCTGAGATTATGAGTTTGGAACCTTTAGAGGTCAGATTTGAGCTCAAGGACACATTCTGGAAAACCCAAAAATTTGATGCTCGCTCAAGCGGGGAAACCTCCGCTCAAGTGTGAATTTCGTACTCCCAGTATTTTTTGCCGACCATGATGTCCGCTCGAGCGGGGAAGTCCACGCTTAGGCGGGGAGCTATGTAAGATGGAATTCCGCTCGAGCGTCAAAGTTCCG